GAAGACATTTCTATTTGCTTCTTTGCATATCTAGCTCCTCGAGGGACGGACCTTCATGAACAAAGTATCTGGAAATGGTTTTGTCTAATTCGAGTAGCACTATTTTCAAGATGCTCCAACAGAACTTCTCTAGACAGCACTTCCTGGTTAAACACGTCTTCATTTTTTCTGAAGCATTAGGCCATCTAATTCTGCATAAAATAATTACAATTAAATGCAAACGTATTAAATTTAATAATCGTCAAAATAATGTTAATCAAAGTAGTGTTATTTTGACATTAACATTGTTGCATTTATTTTCATTTCTTTACTTGGAAAATAGCTTTTTCGAATAGAAAATACGCAAATATGCATTATTTGTATGGGTTTCGCTGTGGTAAGGCCCGCTTTGCAATCGTAGAGCACCATAACCGATTTCCTATTCAGAGAGTTCCAAACCGAAATGTTTTTGCTGGGCTACATCTTAGACTAACGGAAATGGAGATTTTCGACGCCTTCGTGGACAAGGTAGGCCAATGAGAAATTTTAATGAAAGAGTTTTAAACTTCGTGGAGCCTTACTCAGGCTACTCACTCAATGATATTTTAGGACGATTCCATCTTCCTAGGACAATTGTGAATAGATGCCTAATTCTTGGTTGATCACATTATTAAATTGTTTTTAGGTATGGGAACTGTTACGGCGCAATGATTTACACCTTGTCATCGACAAAGGGTTCAGGCTCTTGAACCAACGGACCACAATTTACGTGTAATAATTTGTCTATGGATTTTGACAAATTTGAAGTCAATTAAATGCATTTTATGAACTCTTTGATGATCAACTTTTATTCGCAATCATGGAATGAAATATTCGGCTGGGTCATGTTCAAAGACGTTTTAGCGTCAATATTTGGGCTGGATTAATAGAAGGGCATCTAATAAATACCTGATCTGATGCGAGCGGAGCATTATTTACATTTCTTAACAAATAATCTTCCTGATATTTAGCAAATTAGCAAAAATCGTTAGAGACAGTTTGGCAGAATTTCAGCCCAAGAGTGCCCAAATTTTGTTATAGAATGAACATAGCTGAGTCAGGCTTCTGTAAGGGAACATATTGATTGGTTATCGGCTAATTGGGAACAACTGTTCTTCATTGATGAATCGAGAATCTGTCTGCACAATTGTGAAAGACGAGTTCACTTATATTGTCTCCCAAATGAAGAGTATATACAGTGCAACATGATAAATATAATATTATTTGGAGGTGGCTTAGTCACTATTTGTGGTGGATTCTGTTAACTGCTCGAAAATTGCTAATGATTCTTAATAAAGGCAGTCTTAACAATCACAGGTACATATTGGATATTCTGGAATAAAACGTAGTCGCTATATAAGACCTCAGGCATGATAACGCACATAGCATGTCCTAAATTATCTTCATAAAGTCGGTATTCACAGCAAGAGGTGGGCAGCACATAGTCTTGAATCTGATTTAGCACGTCTAAGATATTTTGGAGGTGAATTATTGGCTTTCAGATTTAACCAGCGAATATAGAAGAGCTGAGATATCGGCTCGTAGAAATTTGGAACGATCTTGATCAAAACGAAATATGATCACTACATATTGAGTATAAGTTGTCGATGACAAGAAGTTATCCGGGCTAGAGATGGAAAAACTCGTTACTAAAATTTGGTTCATTAGTTATCGCAGAAAACCTCAAAGGTTTGAGGAGTACCGGGCATCAATTTCGCAGATAATTCAAAGATTTGTAGAAAATGCGGCTAGCTTTCGCAGATCTGGAAACTGCAGACATAGTGCAACAGCAGTTTAGGATATATCTATGACAATCTCTGTTTTGAGAGAACTTTTAGTGACCACTAGTAGTTTAAAAAAACAGCTCTATAAAGGAGGCAGATGAATATATTGAGTGGTTTATAGGCTGATTGGAAATAACTGTCTTCACCAATAAATTGAAAATCTGCCTGCACAACATGATATATACAATATTATTTGGAGGTGGCTCAGTTAGTCAGTTTGCGGTGGAAGTTCGTTAACTGCTCGCACAGAGCTGGTGATTTTTAATAATTGCAATCTTAACAATCACGGATACATAGCATGTTCTAAATTATCTTCAAAAAGTTGGTATTCAAAGCAAGAGGTGGGCAGCTTAAAGTCTTGACTTGATTCCAATTTAGCAAGTTGAAATAGTCGCTTCCAGATTCAACCCGAAAATTTAAATGAGCTAAGACATCGGGCTCGTAGAAATTTGGAATAGTCTTGATAAAAATAAAACAAAATCAGATATTTTGAATATGAGTCGTCGATGATAAAATGTTATCGGATTAAAGGTGAATAAATTCGCTCCTGAAATTCATTTTTAAAATTTTTGTTTCTCTTAATAGGTGACTTTTGACTTCTGTTTTCTCTTATTTTTCCTGTTAAATACATGAAGGCATCAATTGAGTAATTTGCAGACTTATGTTAGTTTTTGTTCCTGATATATCCCATTTCAGATACAATTCCTTAGCTACACTACGCTGACGAGGAGCAATAACTCCGAAATACGTGTCCGTAGCTGCATAGTTACTTTTTGTGGTATATGGCACTAGTCCTTGCTTTATTTTTTTTGAACCCCACTAGCCCTTTCCAGCTTTATGTTAGTTTTTGTTCCTGATCTATTCCAATCCAGATCCAATTCCTTAGCTACACTATGCTGAAAAGGATCAATAATTCCAAAAGACGTGTCCGCAGCTGCGTAGTTTTTTTTTGTGGTATATGGGACTAGTCCTTGCTTTATTTTATTTTTGAACCCCACTAGCCCTTTCTTTATTGGTTCCTAACCTGCATAAGAACAATTTGAATTTTTTTAAAAGTTTGAGAATAGAACTAATTTTTCCTGTTTAGAGCAGTGTATTTAAAAAAACGTAATTTTTTATTATAAAATTAATAACTTATATATATATTTACAAACAAATCGTCAATAGATTTACATATAAAGTTCAAAGATAATAAGATGTGAAAACATTACATCACATAATGAAAAACATGCTGTGCAAACAGGATGTACCTACATTCATTGTCTTATCGAAGTAGAGGTACTTCATTTTGCGTTAGTTAATAGGTAAATAATATTTTTTTTTATCTTATCTTATAATCTTCACAGTATTTTAAACATGTTTCACACATGCGATAACTAGCAACTACCAAAAAAATATATAAGAACAAATAAAATCTCGTATACTTCATGCGGAAAAAAAATCAAAAACATGCAAATGATTAATGTCCTTAATTATTATTAACATAAAATTTTACTTCAACCTTGCTTGAAAAGTAATTTGTTTCTAATTAAGTTAAAGCTATCCACTGGATGGGCAAAATTTAAAATAATAAATAGAAACAGTAATACTAACATTCTTTCATAATTAAAATAATATTAATTAGAAATCTCATTTTATAACAATGCAATTTTAGTGATCGATTATGAAATACAAGGTGGGGAAATGAAACTGAATTATGACTACTAAAACTTTGTAAACATTACCTATATCAAAAAATGGCATGAATAGAAGAAGTTGTTTGACTAATTATAGCGCACATTTGTGACCTTATCTTTTAAACTTTGGCTTTGTTGCTATGACAGTTTTTAATTTTTTTTTACATTTTTAAAATAAGCATTTCTTGTCTTTATGGATTACTAAATATTTTGTATTATTGTACTGAAAATTTCTTGAGAAAAATCTATAAAAAATGTATAATTAATATAATGTGTTTTAAGAGACATTCATTACTAAACAATTACACAGATAACTTAAATTTATAAGTACCCAAATAGACTTCATTCACCACCTGGCAATACGCCAGTCTATGATGAAAACTCTTTAAGCAATTATCTACTTCATCTCTGCTGTTATTCGAGTTTTCAATTCCTCAAAATGTTCTGGCTTGTTCCTGTATACCTTACTGTTGAGATGTTTCCATAACAATAAATCCAGACCATTAGATCGGGAGACCTAGCAGGCTATTCTATGGATCCCGATCAGGGAACACCTGAACCCCACAGTTTGGTGGCCTCATTTTGCTGAGACCATAACACAGTTTGAATAATTATTCATTACGGAATAAAATAACGCATACACATTGTCTTGTAAGAGTTCCAGATATTGTTGAGCAGTTAAATTTCCATTTATTTCGAACGACTTAATGATATGAAACCCAATAATTCCTCCCTAAACATTTGCCTTCTGTGGATGCTGCGTGTGTACCTGTTCCATCCATTGTCATAAAAGACTTCAAAAATATTGGTCAAGGTAGCTAGACAGTAGCTAAACTAATTTATAATTTGTGCATGCTCAAATTCGGCCGTTAAATTACCAGTGGTGTAGTATAAAAGAAATTGAGGGTTTAAATGGTAGATGGCGTCAAAAACTGAGAGGTTCAGTATATCTGAATTATTGAAATAGGTACTTAATATTGCTTATGCACTGTTCAATAAGTGCACTAAGTTTATTTAAAAAATAAACTTAAAATGAAAAATTTTAACACCCTGTATCTCTGAACGAAAAATGTTCATGGAATTTTTTTTTAAATGGGGTCCTTTTTTTTTCTTAAAATGGGGCTTAGTACTTAAAATTGGGACATCATGTATAGAGTTCTTAACGGTTGTTACGAGATGAAGAAAACAACAAAAAAGACCTCAGTCCCATAACAAGCCAAAAAAATATATTTTTACAGGTCGCAAATAAATTTAAGAAACTTAATTGTATAATCTAAAAACATACCACTGCCCTAGAGAAGACGTTATATTTCTTATATAAAAAACACTTTTCCTTGATCAGTATTTTTAGTCTTTTATAACAAAATAAGTACACATTTTCGTATTGTTTTTCAGGTAATACAACCTCCTGTATCCCTGAAGGTACCTCAATGTACCTTGTGTGGGAGAGGACTACACATTTAGAGACAATGGACACACACCCATGTCCGAGTATGCTAGAATTTCTGGTTTAGAAAAATCCTAGCTCCTCGACCAGGGATCGAACCCGGGACTTCAGTGTGAGAAGCAAGTGTTCTTGCCACTCGACCACGGAGCCACACGGGAAGAATAGAATTTGACAAAGTACAATGGTTTAAAATTTTAAACTTCTGTTGACATCTTCCTCGTTTAGTTCCGGAACTAAATGCACCTTGTACGGATAGAATTTTTCTTTTTTCAGAAGATTTCTGATGGATTTGGAATAACACGATGGACACCAAGTTGTTACGTTGATACATAATTAAGGCGTTATTTCTGAGCCTCTTCTAAGCCTGCTGTTGATTTTGGTCTTCCAATGTTTGAACCATAATTAAACACTTCCGTTTCTCTAAACTTCTTCACTATTCAACATAAAGAACATTGTGTAATAGCAACTCTGTTCATGAGACGAAGTGCAAATATCTCCCTATGCCGTTTTCCTAGTTATATCCCATTAATTAAAATTTCGATCCTTGCTCTTCCATTTAATTGGGGCACTTTGTATATTTTTACTATTTTCATGCAAAAAGTTAAACTAGTCAGTTAAAAGGCAAACCAATGAATTTTTTATTGTCTTTATTTTTTATATCCTTCATTTACATTTTATCTTTTCTTTTTTATAAGAAACAGCCAGTAAAGTATAAATCAATTTGATAATAAATTTTAAATTATTTTTTTCTTAAAAATACTTCAACAATACAAAAAATTTGTTAGTCCGTAACGATAAAAAATGCTTGTCCCAGAAATGTCATAAAATATAGGTTAATATTTAAAAAAATATAAAAAATTGTTATAGCAACAAAACTAACTCTTGAAAAACACTCAAGGTGACATTAATAAGTGCCGTAATTGCTCAAACAACTCCCATTTGTATCATTTTTTGAAACAAGTAATATTTACAGTTACAATCATTTATCAGTTTGCTTTCCTCACCATGTATATTTGAATGTAGTATTTAATATTGCTTATTTTACTAAAAATACGTTTTTTAGAACTGTAAAAACCGTTGTAATGTCTGTTTTATTACTATATTGTCAAGATTGATTATTATTCTTATGAACACAAAAATATGGATTTCCCGTGACAAATGTTGTAACATTTATAGAATTTCTCGATAATTCCATAACAAACGAATATGGAGTTCTGATAAGTTAGGGTCCCTTCATGGCCAGGAAAAGTTATTCATCATCCCGTCAAATGTAGAACTGAGGCGGGGCCTTTCACACTATGCTAACCAATAATAATCCCCTCTAAAAGAGGCCATCTTGCCATATTTTGGAAATTAGAATAAATTAAGAAATTATATTCAAAAATTATGCATAATTACTTTTTAAGTAAAGTATTACAATTAGCAAAAATCAATTTGTTCTTTAGTGCATCCTTTATTTTCAAATCCCTTCTTTTGGGTTATAACCTTATATCAAGTTGCCAGAATATAAATTAACATATTAATGATTGTTTTGAGGGCAGGGTGTATAATTTAAAAATCAATAATTAAATTTACAATAATATTTATTTATACATATATAATTTATATGTACGGTATATATAAGTTGAAATCCACAAGACAGAAATCCAAGTATTAAAGTATTTAGACTCAAAATATAATTTATATATGAATATTAAAAATAATAATAATTTATATTACAATAATTTTCATTTACAAAATAATAAAAAACAATTTTTTTGAAATTAAAGTAGTCTGTCAACTTAGTACTTCTAAATCTAAAATATTACACCACAGCACAAAGAACTATATCTCTATTTTTATCCATATAGGTACAAATATACAGCATGCCACTGCAAAAATCCCTAAAATTTAGAGTATAAATATTTGGATATATAAATGGTTAACCAACTTAAATAGGGTATTTTTTTAATAATTAAACTTTATTGTAAATATTAATGAGTATCAATTTAGTACTTAATTAAATATAAACCTATTTAACTTGCCTAACCTTTTTTACATTAGCTTTCTTTTCTTTATATTAAAATAATTAATTACGTATACTTCTTTTGTAGCAGTGTTTACGTATTTTCGTTACTATTATCACTAGCAATTCTGATAGACTTCTTAGTAGTCATGAACTGCAAAATCCAATTTAAAGGGTATATAAAATATTTCTCTTTTTTTCCTCAAATTAAAACAATGATTTATTTATACTTTTCGAATGTTTCACATTGCTTACTTACTTATAAATAGTGTAAATTCACATATTTACGTATTTTGAGTAATAAATATTATCATCCTACATGGATAACTTTACTCTAACTTTGGCATGAAAGTGCGTAATTTTAATAATCGTATATTTCATATCCTTTTTTCTTTACCGGGGTTTTTATGTACAATCTTTATGACTTGTTTTATAACCAAATATACATACAATCGAAATATCTACAATTTAAGTAAACAATTCTACTTTTCAAAACGAACATTTCCAAAATATACTTGCTTTACAAAAGAAATACGTAAGTAACATGCTTTTTATATTAATTCAAGTATTTTTTATAAATCGTACAACTTGTGACTAAGCCAGCTAAAGTAAGATGAGAATAATGGAATTTGTTTACTAGTCTTATTTTAAGCAAATATTGTTTTTTTATCTCATCATCAAACTCTCTTGGCTTACGTTATCACTAACAATGTTTATTAGTGACGTTAAGTAAATTAGTAATTATTGGATCAATTTCAATTTGTAAAACAAGTAACTTTTCTAGAGTACTCTAATTTTCTGAGACAAGCCAACTAGAATTTGTTATTAGCATTTTGGAATAGTATGATTTGATTCCTGTTAGCTTGTCTGTTTTTGGCGACATACACATTTTAAAATAAAATGTCAGTCACTGACCTTCATGATCTTCCAAAATGAGAAGTGGATCTTGAAGATATTCTGAACCACTTTGTTTAATTAGTAGGAATATATAAAATATTTATACAAAAAAATTTAAACCGGTATAGTTCACTAAGATTTTGGCAGTTCATCTGCTTTCACTGAATTGCACGTTGCACTGGCCTCAATGATTTAAAAGTTTATTTTACGAGAGTCCAAATTTAAAATTCGCGCAAAATTATAAAGACTATATTATCTACAATATATAAATAAATAAACTATAAAATCGATCTATAAATCGCGTACATCGGAACAAATATATCGACTTTAATTATACACAAAAAGGACTTTCTTGTAGGAGGTCATTATGGTTGTGTAGGGGAATTTGGAAGAGTTCCTGCCAAAAAGACATGTCTTTTTGTCAGATAATCCGACAAAAAAGCAAATGCAATGACTACAATGTGTTTTTAGGTACATGGTTTTATTTTAACGCGGTTCACTGTGGTGATCCTTGAGGACTAATATCATCACCACCTCCTTCTGAACCCCCTTCTCCTTTGGTCTTATTCTCTTTTTTCCACTTCATACGCCTATTCTGGAACCATATTTTAATTTGTCTTTCCGTTAGACATAGGGCATGAGCTATCTCGATTCTTCTTCGCCTCGTCAAGTACCTATTGAAATGGAACTCTTTCTCCAATTCCAGCGTTTGGTATCGAGTGTAAGTCTGTCGACCTCTTTTTCTTTCTGAAAAAAATACATAAAATTAAAATTACTATATAAACAATAAACAGGTAAAAATTTGTTATTGATTCTATGCGTCCTTAGGGAAATACTACCAGTTTTATTTAAACAGCTTTTCCTATTTCTTTTCTACCACTAGCTTAGAATATAAGCAATCTGATAATTTTCAATTACGGAATAGCTACATTCTAACATTTGTTATAGAATGAGTACTAGCAGCAACATCTATTGACTGTTAAACAAAGTCTTTAATAATTAATAATAAACATTTCATTTCAGTAATAAATACTTAATAACTGGTGTTGACATTGAAATTTTATCTTAAAAGAAGACATTTTTGTAACTATTATTTAAATTAAACAATCTCTTTAAAAAAAAAACAATTACTTATATGATGGCGACACCTATTATTAAATTATTTAACTAAGTAATAAAGGTTGCTTCCCTCGTCTATTAATTGGTTCTTGGTTTTTCCACAGTTACAATCAAAGCGTGTTTTAGTACATACTACTAACAATTATTAAAATTTAATGACCTAAATAATTTTAGTCATAGAAAAAGTAGTTTCTAAAACGTCTGCAATTGCTATTCAGCACTCCTCATGTTTTGACTCAGGTGACAAACTTTCCACTCGTGCGGAATATGCCATATTCCAAACTCGTTAGAGAATATACTATTCTAATTAAACGACTGAAAAAATTAGTTACTCAGTATATTACTTCTGCGCCTGTAGCATTATAGTCAGAGGGCATTTTTGACAAATAATATAAATCAAATAATAATAGCAAACCATTATATCCTAGCATTACATATAACCATTAGGATGGTCCATATTTCCTCTTTGTCTTTGCCTCATTTTCTAAGAGGAGTGTATATACCAAAATTAGGCCAATTTGAAACACATTTAGGAGTCGCTAAGTTTTTTTAGTAAAACGATTACAATAAATATGAAATTCGGATTTCATTATGATATAAAGAATTCTTCCTCAGAGAATTAAATCCGTTGAGGGAAAATTTAGTAAGCTGGTAAGCCAACATTTTCTACTGAAGAAAGACAGGGAGACAAATTTTGACAGCTGCCGCATGAAAGAAGCACTATTCAATGGAAATTTTCTTTAGCTTTTTGATATAGAAAAGATGCATTGAAAATTATGAAAAATGAAACGGATAAATCATTCCGCTTAATGCATCAAAAAAATATACTGAGCTACAGTATGGCAGGTGTAGGCAAGTGCCTAAAAAATCTCGAAAGAGAAAGAGGGAAAGTCAAGCTGAGAAAAAGCGTCAACGTAGTCGTCGATGAACACAAAACCAAAGAAGTTATATAATAATTAATAGTGTAAGTAAATAATTTAATGTAAATTAACCATAACTGTGTTTTTAAAATATTATATTAATTGTAGTTATCTGATAATGGTGTAATAAATCGAAACGTTAGAAAAAATAAAATTAGGTATATCTGACCGAAATTCCCAAAAAACTATATTGAATAGTTCCACAGTAA